CTTAACTATTTGAGTCATTTTGTCTTTTTTTGAGACGGAGTTTCGCTTTTGCCCAGCACCCATTAAAATGCTGACAAAAGTGGCGTAACAGAGGGTTTGACTTCAAATCTGAACCATAGGCCTGTTTTGGCAACAAACACCCCCCCTCCAAAATAGCCAGACTTTTAGACCTCCAAAATAATGTAGTTTATTCCGTTAGCCCAGCTGTTTCTCTGGTTCTAAACATTTTTTTTTAGATGGAGTGTCACTTTGTTGTCCAGGCTGGTGTGCAGTGGCAGGATCTCGCCTTACTGCACCCTCCACTCCCCGGGTTCAAGCGATTCTCCTGTCTCAGCCTGCTGAGTAGCTGGGATTACATGCGCCTGACATTTTTGTATTTTTAGTAGAGTCGGGGTTTCGCCATCTTGGCCAGGCTGATCTTGAACTCCTGACCTCGTGATCCAAAATGCTGGGACTACAGGTGTGAGCCACTGTGCCTGGCCTTAAACTTGGCCTTTCTGAATGAAACTACTATTGCTCTTTTAAATTATAAAATTAGTGTGTGAGACAAATGGATTAAGACATATCATTTTCGCTTACATCATAAATGGGTCACATTCTGAGAAAAACGTATTATACTAGATAGGCCAAACATTTATTGTTTATTCGTGTCATGTTTACATTTTATAACCATATGTTTAAAATGAAATGTCCGTAACTATTGGCTGTCATTAATAGTAAGAAATGTTTTTTGAATATCCAATGTGAATTCCACAATTTTATAACAGCTCAGCTTTTTGATAAGTGTAACTATTGAGGTACAAAAGAAGAAACAAACTCATAATTTGATATACAGGTCTTTTTTTTTTGAGGCAGGGTCTTGCTCTGTCACCCAGGCTGGAGTGCAGCGGTGCCACCTTGGCCCACTGCAACCTTCACTTCCCAGGTTCAAGCAATTCTCCTGCCTCAGCCCCCCACCATGTAGCTGGGACTGCAGGCGTGCACCACCACACCTGGCTAATTTTTGTATTTTTAGTAGAGATGGGGTGTTGCCATGTTGCCGAGGCTGGTCTTGAACTCTTGAACTCTGGTGATCTGCTGGCCTCAGCCTCCTAAAGTGCTGGGATTATAGGCGTGAGCCACCATGGCCAGATTTCTCTCTTTAAGCAAATTCTGACCAGTACACGTATTTCAGAAGTTATTTTTCTTACCCTCCTGCTCAGAATACTTCATGACCTCCCTTGCCTCAAATTTTTTTTTTCCACTATGAAAAGGTATCCTTCGGGATGACATGTGGCTATGGTAGAGGAGGAAGCCAGAGTAAACAAGATGCATCTTCCTGTATCCTCGATCTTGAGGAAAAATTCTAATCTTAGGCATTTTTACATTACAATACTATGGAATAGATATAACGTTGGTAATTTTTAGATAAAATTCAAATTTAAGGAAAATATTTCTGAGCCAGAAGCACAGCACTAAACCTCTTCTCTAGAGGTAAATATAATCTTTCTAGTCCCTGGCACAGTAATGAATTGGATTAAGAAATAAATTCACTAATCCAAATATCCAACTAGAAGGGTATATATAAGGCTAATAACAACTGACTTTGGATGATAAAAATGATTTTTAAATAAAATTTTTTTTGCTCTTCCTGAGGTTTCTATGTCTATATAGTACTTTAATTTATAAGAAAAATTAAACCTAGCAGAAAAATGCTAAATTTTTAGATATGAAAGTTTCACTGCATTATCAAATCTTTATCAGTATAAAATAAACCAGATTTGTATTTCTCTAGTTTGTTTACTAATACAGTTTCAAATTAAAAGAGATTTAAATACCCCTTTTCTTACACTTACCTTTTCTCGAGGTCTGGGGGGGCTTGAAGAGTGGGGAAAGGACAGTGAAATCTCTCAACCACAAACTCAAGAAGTAATTCTTGAATTCCTTTTCAATATTGCTTTGAGAACTTAAGAGCAAGCTGTTCCTCTGAAACTGATTTTAAACTCATCTGATTTTGAAAGTTTTCTTCCATGACAGTTAATTCATTATCATGTCTAAAGTTCCTGAACACAGTAGGACTCCCTTTTATAGATTTCCAAAGTAAGTATGTGGAGGTAAGGTTGCTTCAAATAATCACTTTTATTTTTCAAGGATTTCTCTCTCTCCTTTTCAAAAAACACTTTGCCCATCACAAAAATCATACATGCTTATTTATAATCAAGAAGATCCCTCTTGCCCCAATAAGATTTATCTCTCACCCAGAGTAAACCAGCAAAACAGTTTAGCATATGAATTATTCTGGTGAATCTATTCAACTATTTGATGATCTTTTACTTATTCAATAATGAACAACTTTTTAGCTCATTAAATATTCACTTGATATTTTAAATAACTGCACAGTATCCTACTGAACGTTATTTAAGCAGCCTTTTATTACTGAATGCTTTATAAACAATACTATAACACACACATGGATTACTTCTTTAAAAAGTGGATCTGTTAACTGCTTTTACAGTATTGGAAAACTGAGATAATTATTCTTTTAATGTTCATAAATCTTAAGGATATAACATAACTGGTTCATACATAACCATTTGAAGAATTTAAAAAGTCAACTATATAACTTGTCAGTATAAAATTAATATCTGAACCTCAGGACCTGATGTTTAGGCTACTGTTCTGAAGTTTCTTAAATTTAACTTTTTTTTTCCATATTGCTAATACATTTAAAAGGTTAACCTACATGAATAAATGAGAAACAATGATAGAAGTGTTATATACCTCAGGTCATACCATGGGAAGGATGGTTAATGTTAGACTGTTAAGGTCAAGAAACAGTGCACATAAGAAATTCTGCCTTATCAAAAAAAAAAAAAAATGTACAGGCATTAGTTGGGGGAGAACTGGAGTAATTAAATGGCATAAATAAAGGCAAAGAGAAAGAAAAATGGATTAGAACTAGTTAATTTGAAGAAAAATTAAACAACATAGAAAATGTTGGGACAAGACCACAACATATCAAAGTTAGAAATTTAAATTTTATACTATAGGGAAAAAAAATTAGGAAGATTAAAATAGTAGTATATACTATATAGAAGATGAAATTGTTAGTTTAAAACAGCTAGAGGTGACCAGGCGTGGTGGCTCACGCCTGTAATCCCAGCACTTTGGGAGGCTGAAGTGGGTGGATTACGAGGTCAGGAGTTTGAGACCAGCCTGGCTAACATAGTGAAACCCTGTCTCTACTAAAAATACAAAAATTAGCTGGGCGTGGTGGCAGATGCCTGTAATCCCAGATCTGCAGGAGGCTGAGGCAGGAGAATTGCTTGAACCCGGGAAGTGGAGGTTGCGGTGAGCTGAGATAGTGCCACTGCACTGCAGCTTGAGCAACCGAGTAAGACTCCATCTCAAAAAAACAAAAACAAAAAACAAATAACAACCACCACCAAAACAGTTAGAGGAAAAGAACTAGTTAAAATGCTGCTAAATGGAAATAAGTGAAAAACAACGAAGTACTTAATTATAGTAGAAATTTCAAGGATGAAGGAATCAAAGACACTGTGGTTCATTTGGGTATATGACAAACATGAGCAAATTCAGTGTGTTTCTTGGGGTCATTAGTTTTGGATCCACCTAAATTGATCACGCAGAAAACAATTTCAAAGCAATCAATGCAAAATTTGCAGTCCTGATCATCACACATATACCTATTAACCACCCATTTAAACATTCTGTTTGTATTTTTTTTTTTTTTTGTGACGGAGTCTTGCTGTGTTGCCCAGGCTGGAGTGCAGTGGCCAGACCTTAGCTCACTGCAAGCTCTGCCTCCCGGGTTCAGGTCATTCTTTTGCCTCAGCCTCCCGAGTAGCTGGGACTACAGGCGCCCGCCACCTCGCCCAGCTAGTTTTTT